AAAAAGTAATTTATGAAAAGTGACATTTTATAACCTGCCAACAGAGATGAAATGCCAAACTTTTTTCCCGTCACAGAAAAAAAGACATTTTTGTCAGTCAGCCTCTCTTGAAATCTTTTCAAACTCTAATTTCAATGTAAGTATAAAGAATGTTTACCTAGAAGTACGATCGCCAAAAAATCCAGATGTTGGTGCCAACGATTCGACCAGAACCATTTTCAAATTTCTTCAAGAAACGTACTAAACGAGTAATCTAAGGTACGTGCTGCAAGTGAGTGAGAACTTGAAGTTCCTTGTAGTTTCCTGAGTTACCCCTTCTGCTTCCTTTTCTTGTACGCAGGTTCTTCTCCAAACTGAAACATAGATATTGATTTGAACATTTTTGTAATTCCAGGAAATCTATAATCATTGTTTTCGATATAAATGTATTAGACTATTTTTCTGACATTTTAAAATCCGACATTTCACATTTCGATAATTTCAACCAATAGCAATGCGTGATTCAATATAAAACCTTTTCAACATTGAACTGTCAAAATTAATCAAAAATACTCGAGTACAAAGTTACCCGATAACTTATCTCTGACCTAGGTACTCAAACTTTCACAATACAAACACGAGTTATATTCTAGATAAAATTTGCATCAGTGCAGTTTCAGAACGTTGTGATACCACAAAGTTCTTTAATTTATCTAGATTGTGATGACGCCGAGGATGCATCAATTTTATCACTGAGATTCCTCAATTTTGTCACGTTGATAGAACGTATGATAAAACAAAGTTCTTTAATCGATCTCCTTGGTGATGACGCCTGGAATGCCTCAATTTTATCACGTTGATAGAAAAAGTGACAAAGTTCTTTAATTGATCCTTTTTTGATGACGCCTGGGATGCCTCAATTTTATCACGTTGATAGAACGTGTGATAAAACAAAGTTCTTTAATTGATCCGATTTCGTGATGACGACTGGGATGCCTCAATTTTATCACGTTGATAGAATGTGTGTTGTAATGATACAAAGTTCTTTAATTGGTCCCTTTGTGATGACGCCTGAGATTCCTCAATTTTGTCACGTTGATAAAACGATGATAAAACAAAGTTCTTTAATCGATCTCCTTGGCGATGACGCCTGGGATGCCTCAATTTTATCACGTTGATAGAAAAAGTGATAAAACAAAGTTCTTTAATTGATCCTTTTTTGATGACGCCTGAGATGCCTCAATTTTATCACGTTGATAGAACGTGTGATAAAACAAAGTTCTTTAATTTATCTAGATTGTGATGACGCCGAGGATGCATCAATTTTATCACGTTGATAGAACGTGTGATGATACAAAGTTCTTTAATTGGTCCCTTTGTGATGACGCCTGAGATGCCTCAATTTTATCACGTTGATAGAAAAAGTGACAAAGTTCTTTAATTGATCCGATTTTGTGATGACGCCTGGGATGCCTCAATTTTATCACGTTGATAGAACGTGTGATAAAACAAAGTTCTTTAATTGATCCGATTCCGTGATGACGACTGGGATGCCTCAATTTTATCACGTTGATAGAACGTGTGATGAAACAAAGTTCTTTAATTGGTCCCTTTGTGATGACGCCTGAGATGCCTCAATTTCATCACGTTGATAGAACGTGTGATAAAACAAAGTTCTTTAATTGATTCGATCTTTCGATGACGACTTGGATGCCTCAATTTTATCACGTTGATAGAACGTGTGATGAAACACTGATCTCTCTTGTGTTACTTCTGTAACATGTTATATTTTAAATGCAAGTTTCATATGTTTCAGAACGGTGTGATGAATAGTATATTATGTAACAAGTGTTAAAAACGTCCTTTTAGTAACGAGTAGTTTAAGCACGAGCGGAGCATAGCGGAGCGAGTGTTTAATAAACGAGTGTCTAGAAGAGTTTATAAACGCGTTACTTACTATGATTTTTCTACGAACTCCGAAAATTACATTAACATACCTGCAATTCCTGCTAACCTACAAAATAATCCGAAAGGAATGGAAATTGAGAACATAATACATGCAACTGTATGCAACCAGCGAGACACGTATAAGTGATATTGGTATATTGGTGTCCAGTCCATTGCTTACTAACCTTTGTTTCACGTTTATTGTCACGCTCAGCGCAGAATAAATAAATTGTTCTCAAAGATAGATGCTTCATTTTTACACTTCTTGGAGATATGCAAGTACCAAAACATTCTCTTCGATTTCATTTCCGTCTACATTCCGCATATATTTTTAATGAAGAATTCTGATACAAAATTCGAAAATGACAGTTGACAGTTCCTACAATTGACTGGCCAGACATGTCTCAAATTACTGAAGCTGTGTTTAATGAACTGTGTTGCCATGGTAATGTGTTTAAGAAATCGTGTTGCCATGGTAACGTGTTTAATATTTTGAATAAATCACAGATCGTCAATCCGTGATTAATCGATCATTTAGCATGGTACATATCCGTACGCTAAATGCCATTTTAGTTATGTCAGTAGAAAAACAAAGTTATTTGACTGATCTCTCTTGTGATAGATCTGAGACAAGATTTTTCTGAAAATAACCGCTAGAAAGTGTAAAAACCCACAATTCACAAACAAAAGCACGACTTTGGATTCACAATTTATCTATGATCTAAATTATTTCTGGATTTTTTCCATTCCAAACCTAGGACCATCAACTTTCAAACCCTCAATGTCTACCTTTTGGAGAAAAAAAGATACATTTGAATATCTCAAAAACATTTCATTGTATAGCAGTTTTAATAACAACCTTTGCTGCAAATGAAGAACTTTGTAAGCGTCTTATCCGAATGTTTTTTTGTCTTAATATACCTATATTTTAATATTGTCATTTTATTTATTTCAATGTCACCCTCTATATATAGTTTTCGAATTTTTCGAGTATACTTCCGAAATATGGAGGATGAAATTAAAATAATCACATGCAAAACTCGAAAGGACAACCCTGTACATATACATTTTCAATCGAGAAACTTGTTTTATCACTTTGTCAGATCGTATTCAAATTCAAAATTATTTCAGCATGCAATCAAATAAGCAAACTGAAGATGAGGCAATAAAAACACAAGATTGCATCAGGTAATAATGCAAATTTCAGAATAATAAAATATGAAGCTGATAAAAATTAAAATAAATACGAAAACGTCGAGACATGGAATTTTTGCTGGTGCTGATGATTGAGTATATAGGTTTATACAGTATGATGCAAATGTATGGAATAAATTCATTATTTCAGAAATGGGCGACATTTGAAGAAATTCCAAAAACACGTGTGTTTTAATTTTTGAAGCCTCATCTCATGACATTCATTTGAGAGATGTTACGTCACTGGTGTAGAAGTAATGACGTAATGGACGATTTTTTCAAATACAAGCAGGGGTCATGTGACACCTCGTTTGAAAGGTCTATTGATCGTCTATCCAACAGTCAAACTTTTGCATAAGAATATTGTAATTAAAATGGATTATCATTTGGTTAACTGAATCTTGCAGAGGTCTGCTACTGAGAATTGAACATCGAAGGGTCGTCTAGTTGAAAAAATACAAAATAAAAGAAGTTCTGAACTCTAGTTTTTGGATTTTTTTCGGAAGTCGTCTTGTTTTGAAATGAATTTATTCCATACATTTGCATCACACTGTATATCTATGGAAACTTGCATCTGCCCCTCCTTTTCAAGGTCCAATTTTTTTCCCAAATGGTAAATCATATTTTCAGCAGTACTCATAAAAATAAACCATGAACCAAAAGTCACCTACCATACATGTTGTAATAGTTATTTATACACTAAGGTAGTGTAAAATATTATTACCCAGGGACTCAAAGATTAAATCTCGAGGTGCCAGCCGAGGGATATAAGGTCACGTGGTGATAACATTCTTCACTACCAAGCAATATATTTCAATCATTATAGTTTTGTAAAACTGAAATATGGACACAATTGTCACTAATGAAAGCACTTCTTTTCAATACCTATACTAGATTCGAGTGCAATGCAATTCCTGCGAATCTCGCATCAGAACAGTGAATTCGGGTTAATTGTAACAGAGATGCTATATCTTCATGACCTAGCAGTTCATAAAATGAAGAAAACTACCTTGGTCGAGAAACCACGTCTTGAAAAGGAGTATATTCTTACGTTCACGTTCACAACATACCTCCTTCAGAATATTCCGAAGAACGTTCATAGAATATGATGAGGATGTTCTGAATGTTCATAGAATATTTTACGAGAAGAAAATTCCTAGGACATTACATCCAAATATCCTAGGAATGTTACTAAAATATTCCAATAATATATTCTATGAATGTTATTCAGGAATGATCATGTATTGCTCGAATATTCTAGGCTTTTTCTCCATGTAGATCAGGGGCGGATCCAGGGGGGGGGCCATGGGGCCATGGCCCCCCCCTCGAGCACCTCATGGACATGTAAAAATGTAGGTATTTTGAATAAATGAAAAACATAGTGTATGTCTTTATAGCTAGAAAATTCCCAACGGCTTTAAGGAATTGCGAATTTGTAATTACACTCTGCTGTTTGGCAAATATATTTTCGATAACACTGCCACTTAGTAATTTGCTCCAAACAAAAAACAAGCTAACGATGTATCACTCTTCAGACGCTTCCAGATAAAAGGGATGATATTCTAAATACCTACTATCTAAGTATTTCGAATGCAGCCAAACAGGAATTGAAAGAACTGAATGTTGAATTTTCGATGCCGAGAATAACAGGGACAATAGACCAAATACGGTTTCCTCAGTGGATGACCATTACAGAATAACTGTTTTCATTCCACTATTATTATTGATCTGAAAGAAGGAATATCAGAAAATGAATTGAATCTATACAACCTTCACCTTTGTGTGCCATCTCAATAACTAAAAACAAAACAGATAAGGAAATTTATAGGTATTTAGAGGTATAGGAAATATACTTGAACAGTTTTGGGGAGAATAATGAAATGTCCTTCCAGAAGATCGTTTCTGAAATGTACATATGGAAGAAAATGAGGGATAATAAGCGAAATATACCAAACAATGGTATAACTGCCCTGAAGGAATGTAACAAACATTTGTTTCCTAACATAAACATCCTTCTGGAACTATTTTGTTGTCTATCTGTAAGTGTTGCATCTTCTGAAAGAAGTTTTTCAACACTCAGAAGGCTGAAAAATTGGATAAGATCCAGAATGGTCCAAGACTGCTTAAATGGATTGGTATTAATGCATATTCACAGGGGCATCTGCAGCAGGCTGAATGTTGATGATATCATCCAAAGATAAGCTAGGCAGAAGAATAGAAGACTGGAATTTGTTTTCTTTATTTTATATATTTTTATTTTTGTCTGTTTCGTTTGTTACATTTTTGAAGAGAAATATTTTCATTCACTTTTGTACCCAAGTTTTTCAACAGAAATATTCTTTCATTCACTTCTTTTATCCATTATGATTTATTACAGAATTCTACATACATTGATGGAACATTTTTTCACACCATCAGTAATTTTGATGTTTACTATGATCAGTTTTTTTAATGAAAAAGCATTTGTCTCATATAATTTCTCTTCCGCGCTAACCTTATTGAGCCGTGACTTTCTATGGCCCCCCCCTCAAACATCGTCTGGATCCGCCCCTGATGTAGATATGTTCATAGAATATATTATTTAGATATTCTGAGATTCTGAGGAAGAGAAACATTTTTGTTTTATACATCAGTGTGTCCCACTTACCATGCTCACCATGGGTATCTTTTTAACGGAGAGAGATACGAGGTCGGTTGAATGACACCAAATGTGGAGTTTGTCAAGGCCAACTATAATGTGAAAAAATATTTTGATAAAATCTATTGGTTTTTGTTTTATACGCAAAAAACAGATTTTGATCATTTCCATGTCCTCCGTAACTTCTTTATTTATGAAAATATTCAAATAGGAATTTCACATTCTCGTGGCAGTTGAAATTTCGAAAAGAATATGAAATTTATACCAACTCTTCTAGAATTTGAGATATCAGCACCAACTTTAGTTTTTCAAATGTAGGTCATAGCTCACTATGACTTAGTTACCAATAACTTTTTTTTCTCTTACAGATGATATGTCGCAGTAATAGTTTTGTGTTGATAACAACGGAGTTATCGTCATTTATACAAAAACAACAAATTATTTGGAAGCCGCCATCTTGAATTTATAAATTTTAACAAAAAAATCATGATATCCGACCTCAAAAACCCCCACCTACTAATTTTGAATGGAATCGGACCAAATCTTGTCCGCCATCTTGGAGCAGCCATTTTTTTTAATTTCAACAAAAATTCCATAACTCCGATTAACTGGAAATTTGGCAGGTGTTCATAATTTCGGTGAAAATACATTACGGAATTCTTGTTGAAATAAAAAAAAATGTCTGCTCCAAGATGGCGGACAAGATTTGGTTCGATTCCATTCAAAATTGGTAAGTGGGAGTTTTTGGGGTCGGAGATCATGATTTTTTTGTTAAAATTCATAAATTCAAGATGTCGGCTTCCAAATAATTTTTAGTTTTTTATAAATGACGATAACTCCGTTGTTATCAACACAAAACTATTACTGCGAGATATCATCTGTGAAAGAAAAAAAAGTTATTTGTAACTAAGTCATAGTGAGCTATGACCTACATTTGAAAAACTAAAGTTGGTGCTGATATCTCAAATTCTAGAAGAGTTGGTATAAATTTCAAATTTTTTTCGAAATCACTTTGAAAAACTGCCACGAGAATGTGAAATTCCTATTTGAATATTTTCATAAATAAAGAAGTTACGGAGGAGACATGAAAATGATCAAAATCTGTTTTTTGCGTATAAAACAAAAACGAATAGATTTTATCAAAATATTTTTTCACGTTATAGTTGGCCTTGGCAAACCCCATATTTGGTGTCATTCAACCGACCTCGTATCTCTCACCGTTAAAAAGATACCCATGGTGAGCATGGTAAGTGGGACACACTGTATAACATATGTCTCAACTTGCTTCGTTTTTGAGAAAGTGGACGTATAATTTTTCAGAAAAAAATATTAAATAATCGTTTCGCTTATTTTGATAAAACTTCTCATGGGGTTTAGTGAATTCAAATTCACCGCAATTTTCTTCAATTATTTTATTTCCTCTCTGAATATTGGAGGTTGAATTCTGAGTTATGATAATCCGAGATATAAGTCTGAATTTTGAAATTCCGAGGTATAACTCAGAATATTGCAGTTTCTATTTTTTTTATTTCAGATGTCCCTTCCAGGGCTTCTTATATTCTCCTGCTATATCGATCCCTGAAATATTTTCCATGTTCTTTAAAACACCATGTATACTGAGAAAATTTCAAGATCATCCTGAGGATGTTCTTTATAGGTATTCATTGAATGTTCTGAGAAAGTTCTGAAAAATATCATGAGAATGTTCTTGGAACGTGAATGGGCGTGTACACCTTAGTAGAACTTTCAACTCAAACCATGTTCATAATGATCCTTTTATACATAAATAATGGTTCGATCGAAAAATTACCTGGAATGTTTCATTTTCGGACATAAATAATAGTAGGTACCTTCTGAAAACGGACCCTCTTATGACGTAGAAACCTCATCTCGACATAGTTAAAAGAAAATACCAAACGCCCGACGGAGACTGAGGCAACTGATATATTAATTCTTTCAACTGTGATCTCGCGCTAATTCACTTTGTCAGAAATCATGTATCATTCATCTCTGTCTGGAATAGTCTTGTTTCAGTATTAGGGTTTTGACGTCACATCATCGCCTCGTTTTCAGAGGTCCGAAAAATCGGGGATTTCAATATTTTTTTATAAAACGTAGAGAGCTCACAGCAAGAAACGGTTTGCGGTGGTGAACTAGCTTGGGTGAGTTCTATCGAATTATGAAATAAAAATTTTTTGTGATATAAGCTCATTGTCGTCCCATTTGCATGTCCTTAGATTATTCGAGATCTTATACGGGAATATTCTTAGAACGCTCTCAGAATCACTTCGTGTTGTCTGGGATTGAACATATAATTGATTGTTATTAGGCCTACCCTATAAAATCTTTTTGGCTCACCCCAGAATTGATGTGCATCACTTTTTAAAAACAAGTGTATCTTTAGCAAATGAAATCATATTGAACCCATCGGTTTTGTATAAATCTGATCTGATGTGAAATTATTATTATTCTTTATTTTTTGATCTATGGAATGTATCCATAATATGGAGTTGAGAAAAACCTAACTTCCAATTTAAATGCATTTAATCTTTTACAAAACATTTCGAAATACTTGCATCATTTTATTATAATGTCCTAGCCCTAGCGAATAATCAATGTTAACGCCCCTGGCAGTCTAGTCGAATCGTTCAATATTATGTGTAGTCGTATAGTTGAAACAAGTAAATCAAGTTTGTTCTTTTTCTGCATTCGTTGAACAACGGGCAACAAGCAACAACAAACTAACGGTGACAACTTTGATTTTTTGTTATTGTCAAGGTCGTAACAGGATCAATTTTATAGGTGATTTTTCCGATTTCGTTGCTTTGCAATGTTCAATAATATAGGTAGGTCATTTTTGGTAAAATGGTTCATTTTGTCAAGTTCAACATCACGTTGAATAAGTGGCCGTTGGTTTCAGCCCACCGACAGGATGTTGATTTTTATTCCTTTTATCGTCTGATTATATACAGAGGGTGTATCTAAATAACACCGAACGAATTCAAGGGGTTATTCCTTGTGATATTCTATGGAATAAAGTTCATATGAACATTTATCCTAACTTGTTCCGTTTTTGAGATACAGGATGTTGAAGTTTGAAGTATCAATTGTTTTTATTTATAAGCTTTCATGGTGCCAAAATTCAGTATGGTTAGAGACTGAGGAAGCCCTAGAATTCCAAAATGATTGTAATAGGGATTATTGAATAATCTCAATGGAAGTCTTGGAAACACCTAGGGTAAAGTGGGGGAATCCCGGCCCCTTAAGCATTTCTCGGTGTAGCGACGATGATTATTGGTTTTTATTAACGAACGATATATCAAGTTAAAGCTCAGATATCATAAAAACAGAATACATTTTCGTTTCCAATGAATACATGAAATTATGAAATTTATAACAAAAAAAACAAAAAGTCGTTTTGGCCGGCATTACCCGCACCTTGGGGGTAAATACGGCCAGAGGCTGGTTTTACCCCAAATGAAGAAATTAAATTATTTCATTGGCAGAAATCGCAAATGAAATTGTTGCTTCCTCCTCCGCCGGTACAAGCTTTGTGAGACCATCTTCTCTATTGAATGCCGTTATGCGATTGAGGATTGTTGGTTCAGGTTTTCTCAAGCGAATCTGAGGATTGCGTTTCAGAAATCTCTCCAACCAGTCTCGACCTGCAGATTCATTATTCTTCGAGAAAGGGTTCTTCATATTACTTTTTTTTGTAAATGAAAAAGCACACTGCTTGATCTGTGTTGGCGTTATCACTCAGAAAAAACTGGTGAACGTCCAAGCTTTGGTTTCTGATATATTGTGGTCTCTCTGTCTGTCTTATTGTGGAGTCGCTTTTGGGATACCACATCTTCTTGCAACCTTCCTCAAGCTTTCTTAGTTTTCCTCACGTATTTCCGCGGCATATGTTGAATTTGATTTCATCAGGGGTGATGCCGGCCAGGCTGCTATTACCCGCAAGAGCATGGCCGGGATTCCCCCATATGCGTTGTTCAAGTGAAACCCTTTCATCAAAAATATATGTGAAGTTATGGTTAATGAACAGCAATATCATGATATATCTAGCTCTCCTAAGTCTATCAATATTTTTTTCACTATTCCAGCACTTACTGACTAATTGATACACACCTCTGAAAATACTTGTTCCTTATAACGAGGAGTGATTTTTGAGAAAATTCCCAATATCAAAAAAGCACGTTCACTTGCAAGTGTGAAACTCGAAATGAGGGCCGTACGCGATCAGACAGTGGCGTGTGGTTTGTTCGGTAGTTTGGAAGAGATCGGAGTACCGAGAAAATCAATGGCCGGTATTTCCCCCATGTCCGGTATTCCCCCACTCTACCCTACATTAAAATTTGGAGTCAAATCGAATTTTTATTGTTACCTCAAAAACTAATAAGCTAGATACAAAAATCACACAAAGGATAAAAAAGTTGTTATTTCGATAGATCAATCTAATTAAAATATGGAACTCAGAAAAACCCGTGACGTAGGTACAATGACATTCACCATAAATTTCTATAAATTTACCCAGTGTGACGCCACTGGAAAGATTATTTA